TGTTCTCCTTTGAGTCCTTTTCCTTGTTCTGCTTCTTCTTCTCTTCTCCTGCACCGCCGGCGGAGTCTCCACCGCCGCCTCCTTTTCCTTTGCCGTCCTTTTTTGGTACCGGCGAGACAAGTTCAACATTTTTGTGTGTTTTCTGTTCAACTTTCTCTTTTAACATCACCGGATCGACTTTTCCGATAACCGTCAACTTTTTCGAATCGGCATCGCACGTAACTTTCTCCACACCTTTTCAGAGAGTAAGGTATAATTATGTATAAGAGAACTTGGAATATGCAAAAAAACGCAGGCGGAGGCTCATTCGCCATTAGCTTTTGACTCAGAGAGTACACAGTACACTTCAACACAGAAGAAGAACAAGCAATTAATATTCACAACTGTCAATTTTTTGTTCAATTAAAGCAAAAATGCAGAAACATTGAAAACACGGCACTGGCAAACAAAAGAACAACAATAACATGCCAAATTTTGTTCAATTAAAGCAAAATGCAGAAACACTAAAACAAATCACTACCAAAAAGAAGAAGAAAAACAACAATTAACATATCAATTTTAGTACAATTAAAGCAAAATGCAGAAACATTGAAACAAATCACTAGCGGATAGAAGAAGAATAACAACAATAACATGTCAAATTTTCATTCAATTCAAGCAAAATGCAGAAGCATTGAAACAAAGCCCTATCAAATAGAAGAACAACAACAATAACATGTCAAATTTCCGTTCAATTGAAGAAAAATGCAGAAATATTGAACCAAAGCACACTACCAAATAGAAGAACAACAAAAATAGCACAACACATTTTAGTTCAATTAACTCAAAATGCAGAAACATGGAAACAAAAGCACTACCAAATAGAACAACAACAACAACAACAATTTACAGATATTCCTATAAAAATATTCAAAGGAATACGCCATAATAGTAATACCTCCAACGCTTTTAATCGCTTTAACAACTTTAGTAACACAACCTTCACAATGAAAATCCGATTTCAAAACCACAGTTAAGTTTCCATCGTTCTTCTTCTCTCCTCCTTCCTTCTTCTGCACTACTTCTCCACTGTTACTCTTCTTCTCTCCTCCTTCATTCTTCTTACTCTTCTTCTGCAAATCAACAACAACAAAAAAAACACAATATCAACAAAATCAGTCACCGGAAAACAAAAAACGCCATTAGAATCACCATTTTTGTACTTACCTCACCCATTATGAATGATGATATTCTAAGAAGACTCTAGAAAGTAGAAAATGAAATTTGAGAACAGAGTAGAAAAATGTGAAGGGTAGTGAGAATATTTATATCGCAGTGTGTTTGGGGTGGGGGGTGGGGGGAGGAAGAAGGGTAGTTGTGTGTATATGTGTATGTGCGAGAGAAGTGGAGAGTGGACCGTGTGGTATAGTGAGCTGTCATGGGAATGTGTGAGATGTCATCATGTCGTAAGTATACATGCATGTTATGTTATCATGATACTACTAACTCTATGCATGGAGGGAAAAAAATGGGCTTTATACATATTTATCGTCGTTAAATTTATCAAGAAATTTCATTTACTTTCAAAACATGATATACTATTCACGATCATAATTTCAATTTTCAAATTTTTTTAAAACAAAATATTGGAACTTTAAATTATTGTTTCAATGGTCTTCTTAAAATTTAGAACTTGAATAGAACATTGACCATGCTTTTTTTTAAAAAAAATAATTAAAGTATATAAGTTGGATTTAATTTGTGATAGCAAATTAATTATTAGTTTTATATGTATTATTCTCGTAGTTAAATTTTCTTATAATTTCCATATAAACAATCCAACATAGTTTAGGTGAAATTGTCAAATATATTATTGAAACTATATGAAGGTCCTAAACTCTCATGATTTTTACTAATTAGTAATTATCTTGTAAAGAAAATAAGTTAAGAATGAAATATGTTCTCACACTTATTTCTAAAAAAACTAAAGAAAATTCATGTGCCTTTATATTAAGATATTAATTTATTAATAAATTGTGTAATTTTTCCTATAAATAAGACTAAAATGAAAGTTTATGTGCTTTTAGGACAATTGGGCTTTGGGTAATAAGTAGGAAACTTCGGGTCTGATAAGGGAAGTAAGTGTACTTTATGTGGGCCGGTGAGATTAGTCTTTTTTGGCCTTTTGGGCCTTTTTAGGGTTTTATTACTTTTTTGTACTTTTTGTGTATATGTATGTATAGCTGTAAAGTAATGGCTTACCAAAGTCATTTCTTAAAAGTCCACCTTTAAAGTTGTTACATTTTCAATAGTATAAACTTATCCGTAAAAATTACTGAGTTGGTATCGTAGAAAAATCCCACAAGGAAGATAGCGATTGAATCTCATTTCGATGATGATGATACCCTACCTATTATCTTTTCATATGAATTCTTTGTATGGAGTTTGTCTAATGTGATTTATATCTTTACGTAAAGACTATGGATTAAGATTGTAGAATTTTTTTTGTTGGGATAGCAATCTTGAAATGTTACACCTCCTTTTAGTTTGAAAAATTTTCTTTGTTCTTTATTTTATTTTTATTTTGGGTGCTTCGTTATTCTTTCTTGATCTTTCAAGAGGAATTACGAAGTCTTTTTCTTAATGCATTGACTTAGTTCCACAAAATGTGTGTGTCAAAAGGAAATTAAAGGGAAAAAGAGAATGCTAGCTATAAAGTGAACAATGATTTTCTTTTTTCTTTTTGTGCTAAAAGCAATTTTGATCTCTCAATAATTGGGAGTAAATGTTAATTCTATTATTTTTGACATTCCATTAAGTATATTTAAATTTTAACTAATTAAGATAAGCACTTTTAGATTCTTTTCGGATGTTGATGGACACATCATAATTCATAACTATTATTTATTCCACTGCTTTTTTTTCCTCACCCAATGCTTCGAGCCCAGAGTATACTGAGATCGCTCTTTGCTCACATATTTGACGGTGGCGCTCTTAATAAGATTTTTTTTTAATCCAAAGCTTAAATTTAAAATCTCTAATTAACGTATTAAAGGTGAAATAGTCCTTAGGGATGATTAAGTTGGTTTGGAGGGTGGTTATCTACACTGATGACCTGGGATCGATCCCTCCTCAATGTGAGCCTGTCACATAAGACTTGCCTAGTACGATTTACATCTCTTGTATGGTTTGTAGGCTATTACACACTGAAGGTTTACCCAGTGCTCACCACAATATGCTCATCCAAAGGAGAAAGGTTGTAGCACCACAACTATATTCATTCCGCTACTTAATTTATATGTATAAACTAAATTTGTGATGTTACTTCATATACACCACTCCATGATTGTTGATAATGTTATGGAATTACATATATCAAACTAGTTTAACCCAAACACTGTGAAGGACCAAAATCAACTAATAATTGAGTTGGAAGGTGTATGTAATTTTACCTAGAACTTGAAGCCCAAGGAAAGAGACAAGGAGAAGCATCAAGGAAAATTATTATTTTTAAAAAAGTGAATAAAACAAAAAAGTCAGTTTCCTATGAAACATATTGTTTTCTTCTCATATGAAAGTGTGTGTGTAGTTATTTGTAGGAGCCGTTTGGTACATTATAAACTATTTATTTATTCTTTATATGAATAAAATATAATATTATTTATGGAGTAGGAGGTGGCATAAGAATTCAAAGATTAGTAGTATTCGCAAATTAAAATGTTAAAACATCAAACTAACTCTTATAATAGTAAAGTTATTTTATCGGCTTAAAATGCAAAATAAAATTTAAATATACACTATGTACCAAAATGTTATTTATCAAGCTAAATATTTAATAAAAAATAATCTTTATATCGTTAATTTTTACATTATTAATCTCTACCAAACCTATTTAAAAGGGAATGAGAATAAGAAGAAAAGGGGATGAATAAATAACGTGAAAAGACAAAAAAGAGGCTTTCCTGTTAATTTCTTTGAAAAGCATTTGGAATCCAAGGGGGGACTCGAGGGGGGCCTTATGTGTGTGTTGAGAAAATTTTCCAATATAAACTCTTAAAATTTATTTGTAAATTTCACTTAAATATTTAAATTATTACAATTTTCGATTAAATATTTAAACACATTATAAAATGTTTCTGTTAAATCTTTCTGGCTGAAATTTTGAAAAAGATGTTACGTGAATTTTCTAATACTTATTACGTAAATAAGTTGACTAATGAAAATATGCACATTATTTAATTACACATCACTAGTCTCAATAAGCCATAAAATATCATGTTTGCTCCAATTGATACTAATATTTATAATTAAAGGAAGTGTAATACTTTATGTGAATACATAATAAACGTTTGAGAATATATAGTAAAAAAAGATAATTTTTAAATTTGAATTAAAAGTGTCTCAAAGAAATACTTTGTTGTAATGTTCAATTGAAACAAATCACAGTTCGAATATCTAAATAAAATTTGTTATAATGGACAATATATCATAGTCCAACGAAAAGTATTTGGAAGTTTGAAATGTAAATAAGATTCATAGAAGTTCAATACTTGCAATTTCATAGAAATGTATATAAGTCATTTGAGTTGGATATGTTTTTTTAGGGAAAAAAAAAGAGGTTAACTTCATGATTGGTTACCCAACTTTAAGTTTGTTCCTCTAAGGCTATAAGCTGTTATATCTTTATTTTTTGGTAATAGAAAGCTATTTAGCTTTATCAAAAATCATGAAAATCACTAAAAGTAATTTATCTTATACAAATTACTTTAAACTCTTAGAAAATCTCACTAAATCACGAAGAGAAGAAAAAAAAAAACTATATATGGGAAGGAGAATATTAGTAATTACTATTATTATTGGGCCTCTACAAGATGTGGTTCATATTTGTTGTTTTGGGCAATTTTAGAGAATGGGCTTTTCGAAGAATTATATAACGTATCCAAACACAATATCTAATACTAATAGAAATTGCGGGAATACAACATTTATTTTTACTACATATGTATGCATATGATTTTCAAAACAAAGGTTGGATGTATGTATAAGTATATGTTAAGCTATCAATTGTAAGTGAACAGAATTGAATCCAATCGTAAATGTTTTTGAATTGTATACGAATGATATGTAAAATGTATATTATATGTATTTATGTATGTATGGTGAACGAACACCTATAATTATATTTTATAGTTATATTATACGTATATGTGGGATATTTATTATTGTCTCTATTCAATGAGTGTTCATTGGCATGAATTTTTAGATATACAGATATGTATAAGAATTGATACATGATCATGGGCCTTTTGATGATAACAGCAACAACAAAAAACATACTGATAGACTATAGCCTGTTAGGATGGTATATTTTTGGGCTTATAAGTCAAAGACATAAGTAGGATTTTTATATTTTTTATTTAAAATACTTAAAAATAAATCAATTTAAATCGATTCTTAAATGTTTGATACAAAGGAAAATATTTCCCATGGAAAAGTATTTACCTAGAAAATCTTTTGTTGGAAAATGAACAAGTTTCACACTTATTTTCTGGTGTTCGATAAGTAAGTAAAAAATATTATATCAAAATCATTCGTATATAATCCAGCAAAACACTATACGTATGAGATAAGGTGGTTAAGGGGTGACAGAGTTAGGATGGTCAAGGGAGTGTAGTGGGTCGTGAATTCGTAAATGAGTTGAAAAGAGATATCTTGCAATATTACTTATATAACTTATTTTTGTTACTTTTGATTAAGAAAATCTTTTTTTATTTTTAAAAAATTTGTTTTTCTAAAAAAAATATTTTGATCATTTATGTATTAAATTCACTCTAATATGATCCACATGTGAAATATCAACAAAAAATCCCACATTAGTTCTAATTCTAAGCATATTAGTGCATTAATTTTGCTAAACTAAGTAATTAATCATTTGAGCATTTGCAAATATGGAACAATTATACTAGTACTACTAGAAGTTTCTACACACTTACCAAAATTGTTCACAGAACAGTGCAAGCATTTGGATTCTCATCACTGAATGCCTCCGTTGCGGGATAAAGATAATCTCCGGTCACCGATCTGCATGTAGTTGTTGATCGCCGGTTGACGCATTCAAAGCCCGGCGAGTAAATGCCGCCTCCTCCGCTGCCGCCGTTATTCACCGACAAAATTTCAACGTCTTTCCTCAGGTGATATCTCAGAGATTCGGCCAAGGATTTCACATCAATTGTCCCAGTTACCGTCACCAAATTCTTTTCCCAATGCATTTTCACATTCCTACATCCTGCATTAGAGCCATTTTTATCATCAAATCTCTGATTGAATCTTCAACTTCTACAACATACACGATAAACACGTTTAACAAAATGCTACCTCTTGTTCGAGTGATAATTTTGTGAATCTTCTCGTTGCATGCGTCGCAGTTCAGAGGAAGTTTAAACACAGCAATAGTCTGCTCGGAAATTGAGAAAATGAGGAAAATATGAACAAATTGAGAATCGATGAACAACGTAAACAGTTGAGATAGTACAAAACAAGCTCCGATTCAATTCACTAGCGAAACAGATATAATGCTTTCCATATTGGGCTAAAATTCACCGGGAACAGAGTACTACTAGTAACTGAAGCCTGTTCAGAAATTTGAGCAAAGTGAGAAAATATGAAGAAATTGAGAATCAATCGACAATATTAACAGTTACGATGTACAAAACCAGCTCCGAATCGATTCAATTCACGAGAGAAACAGTAAACAATGCTTTCCGCATTTGACTACAATACGGAGGGTGTAAAATTTCGCCGGAAAACAGAGTAGAGATTTCAGTTCCGGTGTGTAGCGTATCATTACCTCATTGCATTTATACTTCTTTTGGATCTCAGTTTCCTCAATATCCAGTTTAGGTGAAATGATTTTTACGATCTTCTTCAATTTCCTCTCCATTTTCTGCTGGAGTTTCGACGGATCGAATTTCCCTGTCATCGTCACCTTGTATACCGCTCCATTTTCCTCTATCTTCATCCACGAATTCAGATCTTCTCTCCAAAAATTTCAAAAAGCAAAATCAAATCAAAACAGAAAGCAAAAATTCATCAATTCAAAAATCATCAGATTCGTTACCATGCAAATCGTGAACGCATTTGAAAACTTTTTCAGAGCAACCTTCACAAGAACAATGCATGTCAATTTGGAGAATTGCAGTAACATTTTTGCCGCCTTTTTCATCTTCTCCTTCCATTTCGTGTATAACTTTTTTTTTTTCTTCTTCCGCTATGGGATTTGGTTCAATTCTCGTTGCACTTTATAAACTCTCTGTTTGAACTTTTGGCGGGAGTTTATTTGTATGCAAATTTCCTTTCAACTATTTTTCTTAGGGTCATAAATGTCCAATAAATAACTTGTTAATTACAATACAAATTATTATATTATTAAGCGAACTATCTTTAAAATTTGTGTTGTACTTATTATTTTGAATTTAGGGTTAATTATAAAATTAAATTTGCTAGCCTTTTGTTCATAAATTGGCGAACTGTTTGTTCTGATATGTATTTTTTTTTTTAGAGAAATCCCTTTGGATCTATAAGATTCAGAAAGTGTTTGTTTTAAAGCTAGACTTGTACATGCGTATTGATCTAACAAAATTATTAATAACATAATACGTAAAAATTATTTTTTAGAATATTTGATTTCCCTCGATACTGAATACAACCTACGCGGCTCCGATATTGTGAAATATGTCAAAATTACACACCATTTGTTTCGCTTCGTGTTAAAGTTGTATATATAACTTTACAAAACGAAAATGGTGTGTATAAAGTTTTATCTTTAAAATAGTTCAACTAAAATATATCAAAACTAAGTATGAAAAAAGAAATACACGAAAAACATCAAATAATATGATGAGTAAAAGAAAAAATACTATACTAGGAAACAAATATACGTTTCTTATTATATAAAATATCAAATTCTTCTATAGGATAACTTTAATAAAATTCAAAGGTATATTGAATTTTGAATATTATATAAACAAAGACAGATTAAACTTAAATTAAATCCCAAATCATTGCTATATATTTTTGTTTCCCTTCTTAAACACCAACAATTATATCACATAATTGTGCAGTACTTAGCTTCATCATGAACAAATTGATCACTTTCTGGCCAATAATTATAATAATTTGGAAACCAAATTGGCTTCAAATCATCTTCATATTTCTCTTGCTTCACAATTTTGACTGATTTTTTCAGCTTCTTTTTCAATTTTTTCACCAAATATTCAGTATTAATTGATCCACTCACCATCACCAAGTTCTTTGGCCTATCAATGAATATTCCTTGAAACCCTTTTAATATCATAAGAAAAAAATTTAATTCTATTAGAAAAATTCAATCAAAGAAATTAAATGAAAATGTGGGGATTTAGTATTCAGAATTTTATTTGATTTTTTTTTTATGAGGAAAAGTATATATCATAAAAATGTTACTTGAATACCTTTTAATATCATAAGATTTTTTTTTTTTAAGTCTTTCATAAAAATTCAATAAAGAAATTAAATGAAAACGGGGAAGTTTAAATAGGTTCGACACAATTAGTAGGTGTTTCGATATAAATTTAATAATATTTAAAAAAAGAAGAAATAATATTTAAAGTTAAGTTAAAAAAAGTTAATATTCGAAATTTTATCTGAAAAAAAATATTGAAATTTTATGAGGAAAAATATATACTTGAAAATCTGGTTTAGCCTAATTTTGCAAACTTGGAAAATTGGAGTGAAAAGTTTAATACAATACCTTTGAATATTCCTTGAAACCTTTCTCATATTATTAAGGAAAAAGGAATAATAGAAAAATTCTATCAAAAAAATTAAATGAAAAAAGGGGGAAATTTTAAACATGAGAGAATTTCAGTAAAATAAATAAATAAAAAAATTTACCTTTTGTTTTGGTCACTATGTTTTGCATTTTTTCCACACATTTATCACATCCCAAATTAATTTCCAGTGTTGTTTTTTTGGGAATCTCTTTTTCTTTATTTTCTTTTGATTTTGGAGAAATTATTTCCACTTTTTTCTTCAATTTCTTCTCAATTTTCTGTTGAAGTTTCAATGATTCCACTTTGCTAATCACTGTTACTTTGTATTTCACTCCAATATTTTCTATTTCCATAGACTTTATACCTTTTTACAATATAACAAACAAACAAAAAAATGTTTTAATAGGCGTTTGAACATAAAAAAAAACGTGAACTCGACAAAAGTAAAATATACCAAGCAATTAATATAGAAATAATTAAGAATAATATATATGAAGAAATTCAAAAATCATATGTGTTGATAATATACCTTCCAATTTTTGAGTGCATTTAGCAATTTTTTTGAAACAATTCTTGCAGACACAATTCATGTTTATAAGAAAAACAACTTCAACATTTTCTTCTTCTTTCTTCTTTTTGGAACTCATTTTTTTTAAAAAATTTAATTTCAGCACAAAAAAAATAATATGTGTAGTTTGTTGGAAAATTAGGTTTTAAAATTACCATATATATATATATATATATTGTGTGTGTGTGTGGAAAATTTTTTCTATTTAAAAGCAAATCTTTACTCAGAGGTAATAATAATTGTGGAAAAAAGTGGAAGTGCATGATTTGGTGCTTTTAATAGAAAAAAAAAATTATTTTTAACCTTATTTTAGGAAATCCCTCATATAGAACTTATGTTAATAAGAGCATATTAGGTGGGATTTATTTTTCAAAATTCATATGAAGGTGTGTCATTTTATACAAATAGCAACTTTACTGTTTTTTTTTTCTATTTAGAAGTTAGACCTTATTTTTAAATAATTGATATGCGATAGTTTAAAATTAATCACGCGATACAGAAAATTATAGTCTAATAATATTAGTGAATGTCTTTTATTACGTAAAGGTGTGAGCGCAATTCTTATCACTTTGTTTCCTGATCTCTTTTTTTGAATATATTTGTATAATGGAGTTTAAATTTGAACAAAAATATCTATAACTAAAAAAAACGATATTAATACGCCATACTGAAGCTCAAAGAGCTTCAACAAGTAAATGATTCATAAAGTCTAACTTTCATAATCTAAGTATGAAAATTTTCAAACTCGAAAAATGATTTGCTGAGTTCAAATTTTATTATTTCAAACCTTAAGAATAATTCTTAAAATAAAATAGATTAATGTTCTTCGTATTTTTCCGATAATAAGCGCCTTCCTCAATCCAGGCCCACTAAATAAAGGCCCATATGGGCATGGACTGGGTCTTTAGTTTACATTCCCTGGGTCAAAATTTAGGCCCATATTTTATTTTATATTTTATATCGATCATTAATTTATATTTATCACAATAAATAACTTTTTTATATATTTTCTTTTCATGATAGTTCACAAATTGTGACAGTGCATAATATCAGTTTCTGAAATATTTATGCGTGTATTGTTGGAAAAAAAAAAGAAGACCTTCTTTCTAGAACTTTTTGAACTTTTTTTATTGTAACTCTTCTAAAAAACGAAACGTACAATATTGTAAACCTTATATCAAGAATAATGAAAAAGAAAAATCTTGAAGTATCACTTTTTTTATTGAACAAAAGAAAAAGGAAAAGTGCAAACATCACTATCAAATTATAGCTTTCTAGATATCTTTTTAATTTTCACCTTCAAAAGACATTATAAATTATAACTTTATTTCGATCCGTAAAATATTTTTTATAGAGTTTTTTTAGAAAAAAAAGAAGAAAGAAAAGTGATATTTTAAGCGCAAATAGGAAAGAACATTCTACAAGTGACATTCTAATTTAATCGTGTTATTTACCTTTAACACATCTAATCTTCATCTCAACCTTCGTCCCTAGAGCCTCCATAGTCCATTCCCACCATTCTAACTTCTACTCTCACTTTCGTAGAATATGTTTAAATTATACATAAATATTTTTACTTGCATATCGAACACAAATAAATAGATAAATAAATTATCGCTTATTGTTCTGTGTTTAGTTTTCTTCATACCAAACATACTCTAAACATGAAATATAATAACCTAACAATTTTATCAATATTCAATTATAATCCGTAATTTCACGAATCAAATGACTCTTGAAATAATTGAAAGTAAGTTGTCTCACATTGGCGCTGAAGGGCCACTTAAGAAATATTATTAATACATTTTTCTTATGTATTTATTAGTCATACTTTAACACTATGTTTGAATCGTTGTTATCCATTATTTTGTATTGTATCGTTACTATATCTACAATGTTTGTTTTGATTCCTACTTAAAATGTATTGTATTGTATTGTATTGTATTACACGTAACAATAGAAACCCATATTTTATGGAACAATCAATTTGGTTACTTAATTTTTTTTTTCAATTATATCTTTACATAATATTTCAAGATACTATTTTACCCTGTACCTTAATTATTTAAATCTAGTCAAACCTCCTACCCTAGAATAATTAATGATATTTAAGTAAATTTATAAATTACAATACCAGTACGTAATCAAACCAAACAATTTAAATACCACTAAACAATAACAAACAATATAATCTAACCAAACATTGTATATACCATACAATACAGTACAATAGAGTACAATACAATACAATGCATTATGAAACAATGAGTAATAATGATCCAAACAAAGTGTAAATGACTACATTATATTTGTTATTATGTTTTTATGAGAAGAAATCTTTTCTATTCATAAAATTTTAAGAAATCTAGATTCACATAGTACTTTTCATCAAAATATTTTTTTTAATAAAACAAAATTATGGTGTAGAATCATATTAAGAAAGGAAATTCACGATAAACCCTAACAATAAAGACTCAGTTTCTAACATTTACATACTTTGATACGCATTATCTGTCATGACCAAAATCCGGGCCGCGACTGGCACCC